ATGACCAGACTTCATCTCTCATACTTGAGACATAGTGTTGGGTGGGACCAGTCCCTGGAGAAAATACCATGTTTGGTAAAGTAGAGGGTCGGAGAAAAAAAAAACTAAGACCCTCCACTAGATGGATTGGCACAGTGGAAGCAGCAATGGACACAAACAATCAACAGTTTTGAGGTTGGTGTAGGACTGGGCAGTAACGTCTCCTTCTGTTGTGCACAGGGTCGCTTTGACTTGGTCCCGACCTCGTGACCCCTAACAACAATAGTTTGTAATTCCCATGTTCCAGTTATTAATGGATGTTTACAGCTATTTTTTTCTCATTTTGAGTTTTGCCCATAAACAGATGAAAATCCCCAAAACTTTATCCCACTCACATAAGTATGGTCAACTTTACTTTGAGGAGGCAGCCCTTCCCTAGTGGTATTTTGTGTCCTTCTAAGCTGAGGGGCTCATCTTCTGGCCCCATGTCTGACAATATTCTGTTGTTATTCATGATGTTTTTCATTTTCCAGTACTGTATCTGACAGTGTTCCTCTGCTATTCATAAGGTTTTCATTGGCTAAACCTTCAGAAGTAGTCCACCTTTTCTTCTTTCTAGTCTGTCTTAGTTTGGAAACTCCACCGATACCTGTCCACCATGGGTCACCGTGTTGTTGTTAAGCACCATCAAGTTGGTTTCGACTCATAGTAACCATGCTGGTATTTAAAATACCATTGGGGTAGCTTCCAGCATCACAGCACCATGCAAGCCACCCCAGTTTGACAAACTGACATACATCTACATACTTATACACAGACATACAAGCACATACATCTGTAGTGTAGAGACCAAGCATCTCAAGGATTTATGTAAGGAATGAACCCATCTGGCCTGTTCCCAGGTGGTATGGCGTCCCTCCGGCCCCAAGTCTGTCTGTCTGTTTTCTCCACGGAGTGCCCAACCCTCCCTGCCCACATTACTGCTCTTTTTTCTCCAGGGCTTCAAAGACAACCTCCACGCGGTGTTCTGCTTGGCAGAGAACGCCGTGGGACCCTGTGCAACGAGGCCGGATGACATCCACCTGCTGTACTCAGGGAAGTAAGTCGGCACCACCCCTCACAGGATCCAGCCCTACTCTCTGCCTCCGATACCCACAGCCCACCACCCTGGGAAGGAGTGTGCGGGCAGGTCAGAGGTGGATCCTGGTGGTGGATGCTGGCTTCCAGGAACTCCAGGTAGCCCTGAGGCCCGAGACACCCAGGAAGGGAGTGGTAACTTTGAGGGCAGGGGCTGCCATGGCAAGTGGCCCATGCCCCCTGGATGAACTGAGCTCTGAGTGTTTGAAGCCAGGCCCTGGAGTCCCTGTGTACACTCCCAGTCCCCCGGGGGCGGGGGGGGGGGGGTGTCCTACAGTGTCCCGCAAGAACTTACTTTGGATATCCTGGCCAGAACATGAGAAGATAGCCCAAGGTTCAGGATGGGAGCCTGTGGACAGTGTGTGAACCATAGGCCATCTCAGCCTGACCCACACCCCGCCTTGCTGCTCTATCCCCCATCTTAAAGATGAGGAGACTGAGGTTCGGGGACTGGACAGCTCGTTCCTGGCTCACAGGGTGCAGATGTGACTGGGCCTCTGATTTGACCACACACTGTGTTGATGGGCCGGGGGCATGTGCACACATCCAGAGGGCATCCCTCCCAGCTGACCTGGGGGTCTCTGTCCCCCTAGGACGGTGGAGATCAACAACACAGATGCGGAGGGCCGTCTGGTGCTTGCTGATGGCGTGGCCTACGCTTGCAAGGACCTCAGTGCCGATATCATCCTGGATGTGGCCACGCTGACCGGGGCTCAGGTGGGTACCGGCCCACCCTGACCCGGCGGCGGGGACCCCATGTGGCTTCCCTTTGCAAACGTGCCCGCACTGTCTGTCCCCACCACCCCAGGGCATTGCCACAGGGAAGTACCACGCCGCGGTGCTCACCAACAGCGCCGAGTGGGAGGCAGCCTGCGTGACCGCCGGCAGGAAGTGTGGGGACTTGGTGCACCCACTGGTCTACTGCCCCGAGCTGCACTTCAGCGAGTTCACCTCAGCAGTGGCCGACATGAAGAACTCGGTGGCGGTAGGTGTGCACCCCTATCGGGTGGAGGAGGGCAGTGGGAGACGGCATGCTTGGGGCTGGCACAGGGTGGGCACAGCAGGGTGGACCGGATGTGCCTCCAACTGTCCCGTCAGCATCACCACATCAGCCCTAGGGCTTCTTCCCAGCTCTGGGGTCTAACTGGGATCCCCCTCATACCCTTGGTTGACGGGTGGGCCATGGTGGGGAGAGGACCCAGACGTCCACCCTGCCTGCCTAGGACCGGGATAACAGCCCCAGTTCTTGCGCTGGCCTCTTCATCGCCTCCCATATCGGCTTCGACTGGCCCGGGATCTGGGTCCACCTGGACATCGCTTCGCCTGTGCATGCCGTGAGTGGCCGCAGCCCAGCCAGCTGCCTGTGGCTCTAGTTAGGCCTGCTCCTCGGCCATCTGGCTAATCTGCCTCCCCTTCCACAGCCTAGACTGTCCCACCCACCCATCTATCTGTCCGTCCATCCATCCACCCCTCTTTAGTCCTGGAACTGTAGGCTAAGGTCATTGGAAACTTTGTGTGTGGCAGGTCAGATTGCCCATGGCCCAGCTTCTGGCCAGCTGTGGTCCTCCCTGACCTCTGGTCTCGGTCTCCCCAGGAACAGAGTGGCTGCTGTGTGCGGCCTTCCTTGGTGGGAGACCTAGAGCCGAGGAGACCTGGGTTAGGACTGAGCCCACCGCCCCCACCCCCACCCCTGCCTGTGGCCTCCAGTGTTGCTGAGAGGGCCCCTAGGGTGAGGGGCAGAGAGACAGTAGACTGACTTCATATCCCTTCCCTCTGCCCACAGGGAGAACGAGCCACCGGCTTTGGCGTGGCCCTGCTGCTGGCCCTCTTTGGCCGGGCCTCAGAGGACCCTCTGCTGAACCTGGTGTCTCCGCTGGGCTGTGAGGCCGACGCACAAGTTGAGGACATGGAAAGGGATTCGAAGCGGCGCCGACTGGTGTGACAGTCAGCCTCCCGCCCCCGACTCTTGACCTCACTTTGCACTGATTAAATTGAACTAATTAAGCGGTATACTCTGAGACAGGAGTGGGGCTAGTTTTTGGTTTTAATTGTTGTGATGATGGAAATGGCTCATTTTTAGGTCTTAGAGTTCTGGTGTGGCACTGTAGGATAAGCACTGGACCATAAGGTCAGTTTGAACTGCAAGGTTGGCAGTTCAAATCCACCCGCTGCTCCTCGGAAAGCCCATACAGGGTCGCCATGAGTCAGCTACACTAATCATGACCCTAGGACCCCTTTGGGCTTAGTGGGGACCAGGCCCCAGGACCCAACACCCTGGCCTTCCCCACCCACCCGCCCCATGGCAAGGAGAGCAGCTGGCTTCTGAGGGTCGTCCCCCCCCACCCAACTTTCATTGCAGCTGGGGCACTCAGTGGGGTCCAGCCGGCCCCATTTCATTCTGTCTCCCAACCCCTAGGACTCCCCTGAGTCTGGCTCTGGGCTGCTTCCTCTCCTTACTCCGGGGTCTGAAGCTGGGAGGGGTCTGCCACCTGCGGCGGGGCCCTGAGTTGGGAGACTAAGTGCCCACCTGGGTCTCCGGGCTGGGGGTGGGGCAATACTGGAGGCTTTCCAGGCTTACCAGGGTCGGGGGCACTGGTTTGTCTAGCTTAGCGTCTCCTCTGTGCTGCCTCAACACACACCTCTGAAAAAGGACATGGTGACCACAGGGGTGGACGGAACTGAAGGGGGGGAGCCTGGAGGCCAATTCCCATGACCCAGGCACCCAGCTAGGACCCAGGGACCACCCCCACACACATACACACACCTGGGCCACAGGTGAAACAGGTGAGGCAGGTGCCACTGTGCCTGAAACAATGCAGGTATTCCATTGTTCTTGGGCTGCCTGGGGAGACTCTGCCCACTCCTCAGCTGGGACTGAGGGTGGAAGTGAGCTAATGCCAAGCGACCTGGGCCCCACAGACATCTCACCCTGGCTTAGCAGTCCCCAGAAATCAAGACAACTTTGAACTGTGTCCCATGCAAACCTTAATCATCTGCCTGCTGTGTGTATGGTCCGGAAAGGCAGGAATTAGCCAGCCGGCAACCCCTCCCCACCCCCCATCCTGAAAACGTCCTCAATAATGAGTAGCTGCCACCACCTGAGGCAATGCGGGGAGGCCCAGGAGCCTGCACGGGTCATTAGGCGGCTTAATGGCTTTGGGCTGCGTGGTTCCCACCAGCTTGCCTCTGAGACCCCAGGCAGGCTGGAGTCAGCGATGGAGTCTAGCTCTTCTGGGGTAACTGGTGGTGCTGTGTGGATGCAGGGTCAAGGAGCAGGGAAGGAACTGAATGTCCCTTGTGTGGGCACAAAGATGGCCTCAGGGCCCGGACCAGCTGGGGACCAGCTGCTGCTCCCACCAGTCTGCATGCCAGCGTCTGTGGTCGTTGGGGTGAGCCAGAGGCCCGGCTTCCACTAGGACCAAAGACTTTAGGCTGCTTCCCCTCCCCCCCACCCCTAGGGAACAGGGTCAGGGGATGGGGGCACGCGGGTCCACTTGATGGTGGTCTCCAGCGAGCGGTACAGGAAGATGAGCTTTTTGATGAACTGCCGCTTGCTCCGAGGCGCCCAGCTCATGCACCAGGAAGATGGTGCAGAGCGCCACACATGGTCCATGTTGGGCATCTCGTCATACATCATGGAGCGTGAGATGCCGTGAAAGTGCTCCCAGGTGAACTTAACAGCCACCATCACCTCATACGGGGGTGGGGGTGGCGGGTGGAGTCAAGGAGCAGCTTCGAGGGTACATGGGAGCCTGCTCTGCCTACCGGACCCCAGCCAGCACCTCCTCCGTTCCCTGTTGGCAATCCTGGGACCCACCTGGAGCTAGAAGGCAAATTAGTGCCCACCTGACAAGATATGGGGGCAGACAAACACCTTGGTTTCCACTCTGGCAGTAGAACTGCCTCATGGTTCTCCCTAAGAGCTGGTGGTGGGTTTGAACCACGGGCCTTTCTGTTAGCGGCCAAGTGCTTAACCACTGTGACACCAGGCCTTCTTCAGCACACGATGCTGGGCCCTGAATTCATACCTGCGGCAGCAACTTGGTGATACATCTGAAGCAGCCAGGAAGCGGAAGTGCAGTGGGATTCCGGTGTTGGGGGTCTACCCCATACCCGGCGAGGAACCCCAGGCTCTGGGGGCTGACGTTGTCCTTGTAGGTTCTGGTAGCAGCTGGGTCTCCACTCCTAGACCACCCACCACTCCGCTGTGGGGCTGGCCTCACGGGGAGCCATCCGGCCACAGCTGCTGCAGCGGGAGGGTGACGTTTTGGAAGAAGGCCAGGCGGTCCAAGTCATGAGTCCTCTGAGAGTGGACTGGGGGAGAGGGTGATGTCAGTAGCACCTCTGGATTGGGACCGCCAATAAGATGATATAGTTCAAAGGTCCTGTTATCATGCAAATTCCTGACTGGGACCTATCTCACAGAACAGTCCCGGACATAGGCTGAACCTTGCACCCCAACATAGACTCAACCCCGCCCGTTAGACTCAGCCCCACCCCTTAGACTCAGCCCTGCCCCCTCTGATCAGCTCAGCTCTATAACCAGTTCAAGCTCTTTAAACATCACACCCCAATGAAGACTCTCTTAGCCCTTCACCTTGATGCTGGCTCAATGTCTGGACCCACACTTACCACAGGCTCATTTAGCCTCATACTTTGACCTGGGCCCAGCTCCTTGCCCTCATGCAGACTGTGTTAGCCCCTGGTGCCCATCCCGGCACCCCCATGAAACTCTCAGCCCTTGGTGGCTGAATGAACGCTGGCCAGGACAGGGGAGGGTCCATATGCCCATGTGTGGGGTTTGCTGTTCTGATCTCCCTGCTGCCGGCCAAGACCAGCCAACCTCAGCCAGCCCCATCTATGGTTGGGATGGGGCACCCAGAGAAGTCAGCACTCTCTCAGGGGGTGGCTGCCCTTACCCACGTCTAGCTAGAAGGCCATTTTCACTTCAGTCCCCATTGGGGTCCTGAAGGCTTTGGGGATCAGACCAGGAAGCATTCTGAAAACAAAACCCTAAATAACTGAGAGTTTCGGCTTCTGTTTACAATCACCATTCACACAATTTCAAGAGTCCAGGGGGTACCACTGGCTGTGTGAAGAGAAAAAGTGTTTGGGGGGTCCCTGCCCACTTCTCCCTTCTATACCGCTTCAAGGAGAACCGGGGAATCTTGGTGAACTTTGCCTCACTGACCACTCCTTTGGTGCCTGGAACTGGAATTTCTATGCTTGGGCTGGTTTGCAGGCCTGAGCATTTAGTAAGTACCCCTGCGACGCTCCCTGAAGAGCTGACTCCCCTCCCCCACTGGACTGTCCAATAGCTCAGGAGCTCAGTGCCCATGAGGGGCTCAAATCAGTCCGTGGGGGCTGGGAGGAGGCCCGGTTATCTCTGTTCGGATACTGTCAAACTTACTAGGAGGGGTAATAGTTCTATGCACTTGGCCACATGAGGGGCTGGTATTTCTGTCCATTTCGCAGATGTGAAACTCAAAGGGCACACAGCTAATTTATGTGTGATGGAGACTGAGGAGCCAGCAGGACAGCTTCAAGTCGGGGAGTCCCTGCCCACTTTCTGTACCCTTTGGCCTTGGGGGCCCTGCCCATGGCCCCAGGTCCAGGTGTGGGTAGGTGTGTCAGTGGATGGGGAGGGCCAGGCATGGGAGGACCCCAGAGAGCTCAGCGCCAGGCCTGTCTTCCGTCTCTGAAATGGGTGACCCTGGGCTCCTTCCATCTTGGCCTCCTGTCCCAACGCTCAGCACAATGAGGACATTTTAAAGGGAGGCGTTCCCTGGCCCGAGAAGGAATTGGTGGGGAAAATGTTCCTGTGAGGAAGTAGGATCTGAGCTAGAATCCCAAAAATGAGTGTTAAATGGTGTCAGAGAGGGGAGCACTCTTTTCAGGTACATGGCAATGCCAGACATTAAGATTCAGGGAAATAGGGTGACAGGGTATATGGAATCTCCCTATAATATCCTTGGGTCAATGTAAAATGATTCCAAAATAGAAGTGCTATTCAAAAATAATCACATCAAAATTTAGAACTGAGACACAAAAACCTCACTGGATAGATGCAATGATTGCTGTTGTTAGGTGCCATCGAGTTGGTACCAACCCATAGTGACCTTATGCACAGCAGAACGAAACACTGCCCGATCCTGGGCCAGCCTCACTTCTGTTGCCACGCTTGAGTCCATCAATGCTGCCCACTTGACCAATCCATCTTGCTGGGGGTCTTCCTATTTTTCTCTGACCCTCCACCTTACCAAACATGATATCCTTCTTCAGTGACTGGTCCCCCCTGACAATATGTCTGAAGTATTAGAGATGATGTGTGGCCGGCCATCTTGGCCTCCAAGGAGCACTCTGGCTGCACTTCTTCCAAAACAGATCTATTGGTTCTTTTGGCAGCCCATGGCACTTTAAATATTCTCCTCCAACACAACAACTCAAAGGCATCAATTCTTCTACATCTTCTTTATTCACTGTCCAGCTTTCACATGCATATGGGGTTATTGAAAATGACGCAATAGCAGAATGATAATGATACAGAAGAAAATAGCTAGGAAAGTGAAAGATAGAAGTTATCCAATTTGAAGCCCTGAGAGGGGAAAAAAGGATGTAAAAATATGACAGCTTTGGGGACTTGTGGAACAATATCAGCAAGTCTAACATTGTCATCATTGAATTTCCTAAAGGAGAAGGAATGTTGAAGGGAGTCCTTCAGACGGAGAATTTGCATCAGCCAGCCTGGGATTCAGATCCATGACATTACCCAGAAACCGGCCCAGAAAAGAATTCTCAAAAATAAAATAAACTTACAAGACTGAAAATAGGGAACCAGAGAAATCAATGCTAAATGTCAATAACTACAAAGCAAAAAGAGGGAAAAAATGATACAATTACAGAACTTCCAAATGGAAAGGAAGTCAAGATCATATGAAGATA